GATGGGTTGCGGGTTTGATTCCCGACGATTATGGTCACACATGTCTTTCTTCTCTTTCTCAGACCTTTTCTGACTTTTCTTTCATTCTCCTGGGTGGTTACCAACAGCCAGTGCATGCCAGTGTATGGGGTGTGATGTGTGTGCGTGAAAAAATGAAAAAACCAAAAATAGGGATTCACTGGCCAGAAAAAGTCACTTCAAATAGCTGTATGGTGTAGACCAGGCTGAATAGTGACGGTCAATTCTTCAGCCTTGCAAGCTGTTGAATGGTGCAAGCCCAGCACAAGTTGCTATGGCTTTTGCCGTAGTATTGTGTGTGTGTGTGTGTGTGTGTGTGTGTGTGTGTGTGTGTGTGTGTGTGTGTGTGTGTGTGTGTGTGTGTGTGTGTGTGTGTGTGTGTGTGTGCGAGACAGTGAAACCGAGAGTGGCTGAGAGAAAGAGGGAGAACGACAGAGAGGCAAAAGAGAGGGAGGAGAGAGAGAGTGAGAGAGATAGAGAGAGTGAGAGAGATAGATAGATACAGAGAGACATGTTATGTACAACAGATTTAGTCCTAGTCAGTCGTGTGAAAAGTCTGTCGCCAGGGAGCTATATTGACTAACACTGCTGCCTGGTGCTCACAATACTCAGGAGGTGATAGAGAGAGTAGAAATGTAGTGACACTGAGACCTGTCACTGTGTGAAATTACATTTAGTGTCTACCCCTAGACCCTAGTAGTGTTAAGTCTCAAAGAGCACTACATCATGTGTACAGTGATCCTGGAACTCAACTGATGAAGGGTGCATTCACCCAAACACCGTGTAGTTAGCACAAAGAGTGGTGCTTTCAGGCAGGTTTGCATTTAACGCAATTGACAATTGAGCAAGAAAACTACTGTAAAAGTCTGTAAAAGTCAGTATGAAGTTGATACAGAAAGCCTCAACTCGTTTGTTTGAATACACCACCTCGCTATGTCACTGCTTCACCATATCACCATCGCACTGCCTCTCTTTTTCACCATATCACCATCTCACTGCCTCGCTGTTTCACCATATCACCACCTCACCGCCTCGCTGTTTCACCATATCACCATCTCACTGCCTCACTGTTTCACCATATCACCATCTCACTGCCTCGCTGTTTCACCATATCACCATCTCACTGCCTCGCTGTTTCACCATATCACCATCTCACTGCCTCGCTGTTTCACCATATCACCATCTCACTGCCTCGCTGTTTCACCATATCACCATCTCACTGCCTCGCTGTTTCACCATATCACCATCTCACTGCCTCGCTGTTTCACCATATCACCATCTCACTGCCTCACTGTTTCACCATATCACCATCTCACCGCCTCACTGTTTCACCATATCACCATCTCACTGCCTCGCTGTTTCACCATATCACCATCTCACTGCCTCGCTGTTTCACCATATCACCATCTCACTGCCTCGCTGTTTCACCATATCACCATCTCACTGCCTCGCTGTTTCACCAAATCACCATCTCACTGCCTCGCTGTTTCACCATATCACCATCTCACTGCCTCGCTGTTTCACCTTATCACCATCTCACTACCTCACTGTTTCACCATATCACCATCTCACTGCCTCGCTGTTTCACCATATCACCATCTCACTGCCTCACTGTTTCACCATCTCACCATCTCACTGCCTCGCTGTTTCACCATATCACCATCTCACTGCCTCGCTGTTTCACCATATCACCATCTCACTGCCTCGCTGTTTCACCATATCACCATCTCACTGCCTCGCTGTTTCACCATATCACCATCTCACTGCCTCGCTGTTTCACCATATCACCATCTCACTGCCTCACTGTTTCACCATATCACCATCTCACCGCCTCACTGTTTCACCATATCACCATCTCACTGCCTCGCTGTTTCACCATATCAACATCTCACTGCCTCGCTGTTTCACCATATCACCATCTCACTGCCTCGCTGTTTCACCATATCACCATCTCACTGCCTCGCTGTTTCACCATATCACCATCTCACTACCTCACTGTTTCACCATATCACCATCTCACTGCCTCGCTGTTTCACCATATCACCATCTCACAGCCTCGCTGTTTCACCATATCACCATCTCACTGCCTCGCTGTTTCACCATATCACCATCTCACTGCCTCGCTGTTTCACCATATCACCATCTCACTGCCTCGCTGTTTCACCATATCACCATCTCACTGCCTCGCTGTTTCACCATATCACCATCTCACTGCCTCGCTGTTTCACCATATCACCATCTCACTGCCTCGCTGTTTCACCATATCACCATATCACTGCCTCGCTGTTTCACCATATCACCATCTCACTGCCTCGCTGTTTCACCATATCACCATCTCACTGCCTCGCTGTTTCACCATATCACCATCTCACTGCCTCACTGTTTCACCATATCACCATCTCACTGCCCCACTGTTTCACCATATCACCATCTCACTGCCTCGCTGTTTCACCATATAACCATCTCACTGCCTCACTGTTTCACCATATCACCATCTCACTGCCTCGCTGTTTCACCATATCACCATCTCACTGCCTCACTGTTTCACCATATCACCATCTCACTGCCTCGCTGTTTCACCATATCACCATCTCACTGCCTCGCTGTTTCACCATATCACCATCTCACTGCCTCGCTGTTTCACCATATCACCATCTCACTACCTCGCTGTTTCACCATATCACCATCTCACTGCCTCGCTGTTTCACCATATCACCATCTAACAACCACACAATACTATCTCCCTCACAGAACCCCAGCGCCTGCTCACCCACATCCTCCACTCACCCACGTCCACTTCCGCATCCAGAATGTTCACCGCCTCCTGCGCCGTCTCGACGCTTTGAAAGCCACGGAGCCGGACAGCATCTTCCCCCCGTGTCCTGAAAGAATGCGCTTCGGCGCTCGCACCGGTCCTGACCAAGCTTTTCTCATTGTACTTCCGGCATGGATACCAACGTCAGGCCTGGAAGCTCGCCAATGTTGTTCCTGTGCATAAACGCTCATCTCGCTCACAGCTCAAGAACTACCGCCCCGTATCCCTCCTTAGTGTGATATCCAAGGTAGTGGAGACCATTATCAACATGCAAATTACGAACAACCTCGAGGGTAACTCACTGCTTGCAGCGAATCAGTTTGGCTTCAGACGGAATCTGGGTACAGCCGACGCTCTTACTGCGCTACACCACTCCTGGGCATCCTCTATCGGACATTAGGGCGCAGCACGCGTACTTGCAGTTGACATCGCTGGAGCCTTCGACAAGGTCTCTCACGCAGGTGTCCTCTTCAAGCTACAGCAATGTGGCATCCAAGGAATCCTCCTTGCATGGCTGACATCGTACCTGTCTAACCGAAGCATACAGTGTGTTGTCGGTGGTGCAACCTCCCGTCCATACCCCATCAAGGCGGGAGTCCCACAAGGCAGCATCTTGGGGCCAACCATGTTTCTCATATACGACGTATCAACATGCCTTGCTGGGAACACGCAGCTGGAAGCCTATGCTGACCATACGACATTGTACACTTTTCTCCGTAACGAACTCCCCACTGCTGCTGCCTTGCTTCAGGACACCGTCAATCGTCTGTCAGACTAGGGCAAGGAATGGCGTGAAGGGTTTGAGCCGTCGAAATCCAAGGGTATGACAGTCACGCTGCAAGGAGCGCAGCTAGCCTTGCCCTCTCTCCTCTTTGGAGGCGACCCTGTGCCAGAGTCATCCACAATAAAGCTCTTGGGGGTGACTTTTGATCCGAAGCTGTCCCTCGCGGAGCACATCCGCGCAGTGTCTATACGTGGCAAACAGCGCTTGGGCTACCTGCGGCGAGCGGCGCCCTATCTCTCCCGAGAAGGCCGCCTCACGGTGTACAAGGGGTTTGTACGGCTCGTTTTGGAGTATGCTCCGCTCGTCTGGATGGGAGCTGCTCCCTCCCATCTTGCACGCCTATATAGCATCCAACGCCGTGCATTGCGCATCATTGGTCCTGGGACGGAGCTCCAGAGCCTCAGCCTACGGCGATACGTTGCTGCATTAACATACACTTACAAACTGCATTTCATCACCGGTCCGACTCAATTGCTAGCAGTCCTTCCACCAAGGCTTGAGCCCCATGACGCCACTCGCACTCGAAACGATCTCCGCATGGCCGCCGGCCACAGTTACCAGCTACGAAATCCGCTACCGCGTCAAGCACCAGACACCATTCTCCGCAGCTTCCCACATTGTGCAATCCAGCTGTGGATTTCCCTGCCGCCAGCTTTTCTAGACACCGCCCCAAATCGCCAAAAATCTTCAAAAGTTTAAGTGCAACGTCAACGAATGCCTCCGCCGACAGGATTGGCGATGGTCCACGGACATTCTGCCTGTCGACCCACCTACATTATAGTGCCTCGTCCACGACTCCCATTGCTACGAATGCGCTGCACACTAGTACTAGCTGTTGCTTGCCCTTGCTTTCTTTTTATTTTTGCTGACCCTTACAGCTATATCTTTTGTTTTTGGTGCGTGTTTCTGGCCGTGATGCCGAAACCTCAGGTCGGCAGAGCCATCAATGCCCCACCATCACTGCTGCACCTCGGTGCAGCCCCTTCTCAGTAGTTGTCACGTTTGTCCTTGTCTCAGTACCATTGTCTTCTGTATTATTTATGAGTTGGGTATGTGAACATAGTAAAAAAACAAAACAAAAAAACAACACAAAATCACACAGAGTCACGTGTACCGCATTCACTGCAAGTACTCGTGTGTTCTATGTGTGCCCCACGCATGTGCATGTGACGTCATGCGTGGATTGGGTTTTGGCTCCTTGCTGGCATTTCAGGCTTTCGTTACTCAGTCTGTTCTTTACGCTTCTGTTCTGGCAACTGGTCTCTTTTGTCATTGCTCTGTTCTGTTCTTACTGCTCCCTGCTATTACTCTAAGTGCCCTTCACACGGCTGTAGCATTGTTGGTTATAGCTAAGACTGGTCATGCAACACAGAGCACCACACATTATCGTTATAACAAAGAGTTTCATGGCCATACTCCATAGGCAATCATCAGGCAACTAACAATACTGCATCTCTTCAGATCAAACAAGAGTATGCAGCAGTTATAAAGGTTTGAAACATTTCTAAAATAAAGATACTAACAGAAAACACCACAAACCATGATAGAAAGAAAACAGTACCTCGGACAATGAGCACATTCTTCATTGTATCCAAAAGTGACAAAAAAAAACTTTATGATGTATTGCGATACTAAGCAGCGAGACATTTCGCTGAAATGCAATAGATTTTCAGAGAAAGAAATAAAGCGCACCCAGCCAACACAATCAATAGAATCATCCTCTGCACATCGAGAATAGGATTGTAACAATGAGAGTGATCCAAGTACAATGTATATATACAACTCAGTGCAGGAGTTCATAAGCAAATGCATGCATACACACATGCATCCACACACACACACACACACACACACACACACACACACACACACACACACACACACACACACACACACACACACACACACACACACACACACACACACACACACACACACACACACACACACACACACACACACACACACATACACATACACACAGACACACACACACACATACACACACACACATACGCCACGTACATACATAGTCACACACACAGACACATACGCATGCACACACACAAATACACACACACACACACACACACACACACACAAATGCACACACACATACACACATATGCAAGGCCACATTCAATCATGCAAGTATGATAAACAGTAATTGGCCATGTTCATACATGTATGTTGATCAGCTTAATCAGACATGTTGTAACTGCTCCAGTCGGTCAGGACTTTGCTGGATCTACTGTTGGCCTGCCCAATACATGTTAGCTACTAGGAAGGTTATGCATACTCGATGTGTCACACAACCAAAACTGAAATACTATAGTAAAGCCTGAGCAAACAAAACTGCTAATACTGGCCCTGTTCATGTTTCACAGCAGTGAGAAACATTAGTGTAGAACAAGAAACAAGATGCTCCAGGACAAAAGTTAGAACATTTTGATACAGTCCCTTCCCCAGTTACTAACATACACAGCACCACTGGGTGATACTGCAATGCCCTGCGGACTAGAAAGACAACTGCTTGAACCGAAGGTAGCCACGTGAGAGAATGTGTCAGAAGTGAACACCTAACAGGGTATCACAATGGAAACACACACATACCGGCATACACACACACACATACACACACACATACACACACACACACACACACACACCGGCATACACACACACAAAACACACACACACACACCATTGGACCATTGGACCATTGGACGCCCATCGCCAGAGGCGATGATAGCGATGCTACAGCAGAAGCCATAGCAGCTTGTGCTGGGATTGCACCATTCAACAGCTTGCAAGGCTGAAGAATTGACCGCCACTATTCAGCCTGGTCTACACCACACAGCTATGAAGTGGCTTTTTCTGGCCAGTGACTCCCTACTTTTTGGTCTTTTTTCGTTTTCTTTTTTTTCCGCACACACACACCACACCACATACTCCGGCATGCACTGGCTGTTGGTAACCACCCAGGAGAATGAAAGAAAAGTCAGGAAGAGTCTGAGAAAGAGAAGAAAGACGTGTGTGACCATAATCGTCGGGAATCGAACCCGCAACCTATCAATTGGAAATCGCTGCACATACCACTGCACATACCACTGCACCATATGGGACACACACACACACACACACACACACACACCGGTATACACCCATTCACACATTTACACATACATGTACATACATACCCACACACACACACACACACACACACACACACACACACCGGCATACACAAACAAAACACACCCATTCATACATATACTTCAGAAGTACACATACATTACAATAGAATAATAATTATAATATACCCATCCAGAGATAATAGAAGGTACCGAAGGGACCAACAGTGTTCAAGTCACGAGCAGAATCGGGTGTGGCACACGAGAACGCGAACGCGCGCCATTCGCGTTCTCCCCCGGACACGTACACACACATATACACACATGAAGACACGCACCATGCACACACATGCACTCATACACACTCACACACATACCGTATATTCCAGAGTATAGGTCACACTGGAGTATAGTAAGTCGCTGCCCAAATTGTTTTCCACAAAATACAGACATCAACCCTAGTAATTTATTACCGATCATCGGAGTATAAGCTGCAACCCACATTTTTGAGTGTATTTTGAGCGTTGGAAGTACGGCTTATACATGTACTCAGGAAAATACGGTAAACACACAATGAGAGAGATTTTATCAGTAAACTTTCTTGCTTTTTTACAGTCAATCTTGATGATGCCCAGGGCCGAAATTTTTTATTTTCTTTATTGCAGTTCAGAGACCGTATCTGTGTGTGTTTGTGTGTGTGTGTATGTGTGTGTGTGTGTGTGTGTGTGTGTGTGTGTGTGTTTGAGCGATATTTTACTTTCTTGCAGGCCTAAAAATTCAAACTTTATAAACCAAAAACGATACTATCGGGAATTGGCCGAGATGTAAGGGGAGTGTTATCAATCAACTCCTGGAAGAATACAGCCGCATCGATTGACTGGTTCCAAGCCATCGAGAGGAAGCCGGAGTATGAATTTGTCTGTTTCGATATTTTGGAATATTATCCGTCGATTTCGGAAGATCTTCTTCTGCACGCTATCAAGTTTGCTGAACAGTTCACCTGTATTAGCAAACAAGGCAAAGACATCATTCTGCATTCACGAAAGTCGCTATTATTCAGTGGAGACAATAATTAGGATGAAGAAGAACGGAGAGGACTATTCGACATGACAATGGGAAGTTTCGACGATGCCAAAGTATGCGAGCTAGTTGGGACGTATGCACTGTCTAAGATTGCACACGAAATCAACAGCAGTGCCGTCAAACTGTAGCGTGGTGACGGTCTAGCAGGGCTACGAGACGTGGCAGGCAGCGAAGCAGACCGGATGAGGGAGACAGTTTGCAAGATATTCAACAACCTCGGACTATGACTAACCATCAACACCGGTATGAAGGTTGTGACTTTTCTGGATGTGGCGCTGAACCTAGCAGACGGAACATATAGCCCGTATAGAAAACCGAACGATACACCGGTCTATGTCCACAGCCAATCGAATCATCCGCCAACAATCATCAAGCAAATACCGAAAGCTATTAGCAGGCGGCTAACCGATATTTCATCCAACCAAGACGCGTTCAGAGAAGCCGCACCACTATACAACAGCGGCTACAGCGCACTTAGGAACAGTGGATATACCGAAGGACTAGAGTACTTGGAAGAGAGAGAGACAAGGATTCAAGCAAGAAAAAGAAAAAAAACAGGCGGCGGAATATCATCTGGTACAACCCGCCATTCACCAAGACAGTAGCCACAAACATCGGACAGAGATTCCTGCGACTACTCGAAATACACTTCCTCGCAGGATCCAGACTGCACAAGTTCTTCAACCGGAATACAGTTAAAGTAAGCTATAGTTGTATGCCGAATATGTTTGCAATGGTCAAGTCACACAACAACTCAGTTCAGCGGAAGAGTGGAAACAACGACAGACAGCCCAAGGAAAGACGATGCAACTGCAGAGACAAAACACAGTGCCCAACGGACGGCAACTGCCAAATCAGCTCAATTGTGTATAAGGTAACCGTCCAAGTAACCGGAGAGGACAGACAGAAGGAGCATATCGGTCATACAGAGCCAGAATTCAAGAAGAGACACAGCAACCATCCACCATCATTCAGACAGGAGAGACATGAGAAGAGCACAGAACTATCAAAGTGTGTCTGGAACCTGAAGCGTCAAAATAGCGAGTACAGTCTTGGTTGGTCAGTTATCGCCCAGACCCCAGGTTACAGTAACGTAACCAAGCACTGTCCTCTGTGCCTAAGAGAGAAGCTGGAGATCCTTCAGGCGGACAAGCGTGCCAACATCAACAAAAGATCGGAGCTAGTTAGCAAGTGCAGGCATGAAAATTAGTACTACTTCTCAAAATTCTCACCATCAGCCATCACATAACCTTTTCATTACCCGCAGTCGCAGGTGAGGTGCTGCTCATAATTACCCCATTGTTCTTCTTCTTTCCTCCCTCAGAAGAACATGTGGTTGCATGAGCCTAGGACTAAAGCGTATTCTTTGTTTGCTCCTATTTTTGCACCCCATCAACCAACTCACGCAATTATTTTCATAATTAGACTATCAGCCCGGATCATCCATTCGCGCTATGTTCCAAGCTTGCAGCCTATATGAATCTTATCTTCTGAAAATTGTAGTCAAGTTGCATTCTGATGATCGGTTAAAACCGTGAAACTCAGAGTTACAGCAGAAACGCTTTTGATTCCTCTCAAGTATGTGCTGCGCTGGCAAGTCCACTAGGCTGTGTTTACATGAGGCGTTTCAGTCAAGAGTCAAGTTTCAACCCACCATGAACACAGATTGACTGGAGCGTTAACAAGCCACATTGTGCTTGATCCGGGTGGAAATTTCAAACGGGGTGGATTTCAACCCTCCCCTCGGGGGACGATTGAAATCTAGAAATCTTACTACAGTACTTCTGTGCGTATCTCGTGCCAAGTTTGAACAGCACTGCACAGGAACAAGTTTGAACAGCACTGCACAGGAACAAGTTTGAACAGCACTGCACCGGAACAAGTTTGAACAGCACTGCACAGGAACAAGTTTGAACAGCACTGCACAGGAACAAGTTTGAACAGCACTGCACAGGAACAAGTTTGAACAGCACTGCACAGGAACAAGTTTGAACAGCACTGCACAGGAACAAGTTTGAACAACACTGCACAGGAACAAGTTTGAACAGCACTGCACAGGAACAAGTTTGAACAGCACTGCACAGGAACAAGTTTGAACAGCACTGCACAGGAACAAGTTTGAACAGCACTGCACAGGAACAAGTTTGAACAGCACTGCACAGGAACAAGTTTGAACAGCACTGCACAGGAACAAGTTTGAACAGCACTGCACCGGAACAAGTTTGAACAGCACTGCACCGGAACAAGTTTGAACAGCACTGCACAGGAACAAGTTTGAACAGCACTGCACAGGAACAAGTTTGAACAGCACTGCACAGGAACAAGTTTGAACAGCACTGCACAGGAACAAGTTTGAACAGCACTGCACAGGAACAAGTTTGAACAGCACTGCACCGGAACAAGTTTGAACAGCACTGCACCGGAACAAGTTTGAACAGCACTGCACAGGAACAAGTTTGAACAGTACTGCACCGGAACAAGTTTGAACAGCACTGCACAGGAACAAGTTTGAACAGCACTGCACCGGAACAAGTTTGAACAGCACTGCATCAGAACATTTTGCGCGAATGCTTTCACGTGACTATATAGGACTCTAGAAGTGGACTTTTGGCGGCATATCAGTATTTGACGAGAGTCAACTGTCTTGATGTGAACACCCACTTATTTTTTTCCCTTGTACAGACTTTCAACCCGGGTTGAAAATTCTCAGGTAAAACAAGCCTAAGGGCAAAAACATTCTGCCCGCAGATTGAGTATCGGATTTTCTGGGGTGTTCCGCATTTTGAAATGCATACAAAACTGCAAAATCACCCCTGCAGCTAAGACTGGGAATGCTAGGAATGACTACCAGAGCTACAGCACTCTATGAATATACTGCATGCATGGTGTTGTTCAGCTACTCTTCATGTACTGCAGCCCATCATTGTACTGGTGCAAAGCTTCTTATTGTACATGTTGCCAGTTCTGAGTGAAGGGCAAAGTAGACAAATTTGTAGAACTTCCGTCATGTTTCTCAACCTTTTAACCATTGTCTGTATTATGATGATAACAATCTTAAAGTTAGGTTGCCAAAACATTCGAAAACTGACGGGCGGGTGGCTTATACAGCGAATGGCAATACAAATACAGATGGTGGACCCGAAAAGGCGGGTGTGGCTTAGACTCTGTTGAGCCAACACACTGTAAATTTCGGTATTTTGCGACTGCTCTTGTACTCTCGTACGATCGTGGACATGGAAATCCGATCACACGTCTAGCGGCCCCAGGGCGCTGGCCATTCAGCTGTGGATAAGCAGTACACACATGCATTACATGTACATGTACATGTTGATGTATATGCACTGCAGTGCACTGGTCACTGC